TTGCCAAACATGTCTCCAGTCTTATTTGAGATCATTGTTATCAGAAAATCAGTGTTGCTCATATAGGCCAAATGAGAGGTGACACATCTGGGAAAATTCCAGCTAGGCAGTCCGTAAAAGTCAGGAACAGGAGTACTATATACAGTGACCAATACATGTATACACCAGCTGTGTACTTCTTTGATGCTAAAGAAGGCAGTTTATCTTTTAGGATATTTCTGGAAGCCTAGTACAGACATTTTGTGGGTTTTGGGCACTTCCATCATTTAATTCTGGTTTGGGGATTCACTGTCTTAATGAAATTTAATCCTCTTGTTGATCCAACTCATTTGTGAGGAGCTTTTTAAAACTGGATATTCAGTCCCTCAGGAATAGACTTGAATGTCCAACTTTTTACAAAGGTCCCATTGGCAGTTGTTTGGGAGTTTCATGGAGCCTGTTGTTAACAGTTCTGGTTTCTCATGTACTTGGTGGTCTAACCAGGGATGTGGTCCCATTTCACAGCCATTGGCCTTGATCACCATCTCCATGCTTATGAAGGATGGGAAAGAGCAAAGTGGTTGGCCCAGCAGAAATGTGTACCGTGGTGTGTAAATGTGGGGTTTTGCTCAGGAGGACCCTATTCAACTGCAGAATTCTGCCTGCCTTCCCTTCTGGGGCAAATTGCAGAGAAATCCTGTCTTCATTAACATCAGAATAGGACCTCTCAATTTACAAAATATAAGGCTTTCTTCATTCACCACCTTGTAGTTAATTCTACTGCTGAAAAACAGTGGTGTAATTTATTCATTTATCTGCTCCACACAATAAGGTGTTGTGGGTGGCGATCCATAAGATCTCTTGAATTGATCTTGACTTTTATTACTAATGTAACTTCTGGTGAAAAACTACTCTGTATCTCAAGTCACCAAAACAGACCTTGAAAGGTATTTTCTTTCAGCAATCATCTGAATTTACCTGGGTCTCAGAATCTTCAGAATCATGGATCAGGCAAGTTACGACTTGCCACAATTTAGACTGCTTACACTTAAATAACATCGCTAGTTTAGGAGCAATGCTTTGTTTGGTGCACAGAGGATTATTTGTCATTTTTGTGTTTCTGCATCATAAGCCCTATTTTAAAGAAATTGCAGTGGGCTGGATGGATTTAAACCAAAGAACTAAATTAAAAAGTACTGGGCTTGCTTCAAGCAAATTATTTCAATATTTAAAGTACATTCCTGTGATGTGAATGTATGGAAATGGTGAATATTCTTCTGCTTCTATAGAACCTCTTAGTAGTGCTATGTATAGTCTAAAGGGAAATAACAATTTATATATTTAACATAACTTATCTTTTTTATAACAAAGGTGGTGTTTACTGCTCGATGTCCTAATTTTTTTAAAACTTGAGTTAGAGTATTTTTCATATAGGTTCTTTAAAAAAGTGTTGCTTACTATTCCATCTGGGCTGTGTGCCATTTATTTAATAGGCCAGAGATTTTTGGTCATAAAATATTTTATAATGTTTTCATGTACTTAATTAATGAAGATAAATGTGTATGAAAGACATTTCAGTCAAGCAAGGTGCCTGGTTTTTCAGTTCCTTTTAAGCACATATGCTTTTAGAGTTTAGAGTTTGAGCCACTTAATCAATAGTAAGAAGAATTTCTCCTTGCCTCATTTCCCTCCCCCAGTTTCTCTGTCAGGATGTGGTGGTTGAGGCACCAATGTAAGAAATATCTGTTTATTTAAAAAAATCACTTTTAATACATTCCTAAGTGTATATATTGTTATTTAATAAAAAATTGGGAATTTGTATTGTCACTTAAGATTGGGCATGGTCTTTCTAAATGCTGGTGGTAATACCTGTTCTTTGGCTTCCAAGGATTTCTAAGGTGTGTGTGTGCAAGATGCTCAAGAAGGATAAAGAGCAGTTTGTATTAAAAAATATTTGAGATGGAACCCAATAGTTGGGGATTTTGAGAGCGAGGGTGCTATCCGTGGTGCTGAAACAGACTTCATGCTGGGAAGGCTCTGAAATATTGGAGGACAAGAACACACCTATGTAGATATTTTTACGACCACACCTCTCATCTGCAGCTGAGACTCCTTAATTTTTCTTGAAGTGTCGTATGCCCCAGGGAAAGCTGAGTGCAGAGGCAACATGGGGGCAAGCATTAGCTGCAGCGAGCTGTTCTGATATCTGGAACAAGGAAAGGATCTAAAAATGTGAAGTATGGCTATATTGGCCAATAGAGACTATTTAAACCCTGTCTTGCCATGTTTTTAAAAAATGGATCTATGCTAGTGTAAGAAGATCGTTCTAAATTAATGAAATCATGATGAGAATGTTACAGTTAGAATTTACACCTTATGTTTGGCAGTCATTGTTTAAAGGTTTTAAAAAGATTTTAATTATTCATTTATTTATTTTAAGTATTTTAAAATTGATTATGCTATTATAGTTTTCCCAATTTTTTCTCTTTATCCCTTCTCTTCCCTGCGCCCCACCTTCCAGCATACCCCCCTTAGTTCATGTCCATGGGTTGTACATATAAGTTCTTTGAGTCCTCTGTTTCCTATGCCATTTTTATCTCTCCCTGCCTATTTTATGCCTACTAATTATGCTTCTTCTTCTCTGTACCTTTTCCCCTCTATTACTTTCTTTTCCTTCCCCACTGAAATACCTTCATGTGAGCTCCATTTCTCTGATTCTGTTCCTGTTCTCTTGTTTGCTTAGTTTTTGTTTTTGTTGTTTTTCTTTTCTTTTAGGTTCATTTGTTGACAGTTGTGAGTTTGTTGTCATTTTACTGTTCATATTTTTAATCCTTTTCTTAGATAAGCCCCTTTAACATTTCATATAATAAAGGTTTGGTGATGATGAACTCCTTTAACCTGACCTTATCTGGGAAGCACTTTTTCTGCCTTTCCATTCTAAATGGTAGCTTTGCTGGATAGAGCAATCTTGGATGTAGGTCCTTGCCTTTCATGTCTTGGAATACTTCTTTCCAGCCCTTTCTTGCCCGAAAGTTTTCTTTTGGGAAATCAGCTGATAGTCTTATGGGAACTCCTTTGTGTGTAACTCTCTCCTTTCCTCTTGCTTCTTTTAGGATTCTGTCTTTATTTTTGGGTAACTTAATGATGATGTGCCTTGGTGTGTTCCTCTTTTGGGTACAACTTCCTTGGAACTCTCTGGGCTTCCTTGACTTCCTGAAAGTCTATTACCTTTGCCAGATTGGGGAAGTTTTCCTTCATTATTTGATCAAATAAGTTTTCAATTTCTTGCTGCTGTTCTTCTCCTTCTGGCACCCCTACAGTTCAGATATTGGAATGTTTCAGGTTGTCCCTGAGGTTTGTAAGACTCTCTTCACTTTTTTGAATTCTTGTTTCTTCATTTTGTTCCAATTGGATAGTTATTTTTTTTTTGTCTGTTCCAAATTGTTGCTTTCAGTCCTGGTTTTCTTCCTGTCACTGTTGGTTCCCTGAATATTTTGCTTTATTTCATTTTTGGTATCTTTCATTTGTTTTTTTCATTTTTGGATCAAGCTCAATCAGGTCTGTGAGCATTTTGATTACCAGGGCTTTAAATTCTCCACCAGTTAGGTTGGCGATCTCCTCATTGCTTAGTTCTCTTTCTGAGGTTTTGCTCTGTTCTTTCATTTGGGCCGTATTTCTTTGTCTTGGCACATCTGATAAGTTGTAAGGGGACAGGGCCTTAGGTATTTACCTGGGCAGGGCAACCCTCTTTGCTGCTTTGTGGCTGCCTGTTGGGGAGGGGCCAGAGAGGAAACAGTGCAGTTTGCCTGCAATTCTCTAGCACACTTTCCAAGGGACTCTCGTGTGAGACTGGGAGTTTCTCCCACTGTGGCAATAGCCATAGTCCAGTCTACTCTGAGTTTCAGTTTCCCCTTAAGTAAGCCCCACTTGCACAGCCCAGGACCTCTCCTGCCTGTCAAATCTACTGCCTCACAGTGGTTTTTCTCAGATGCCTGCATGGTCCACCTTACCGGTCTGGTTGTTCTGGTTGATTTTTTGTTTAATTTCTTGGTTGTTAGAGTTCCATGCAGTTTGATTTTCTGGCACTTCTGGTTGTTTATTGATTTTAGATTGGTTGTTATCCTCCTTTTGGTTGTGTGAGGAAGCAAAGGTTTTTTTTACCTCCACCTCCATCTTGGCCAGAATCTTGTACCTATTTATTTACTTTTAGAGAGGGGAAAGGAGGGAGAAAGAGAGGGAGAGAAAAACATCATTGTGCAAGATAAACTGCAATCAGTACTTCTTGCATTTCTCCATCTGGGGATCTGGCCTGTCACTCAGTCATGGGCCCTGACTGGGACTTAAACCTGCAACCTTTGCATTTGTGGGATGATACCCTACAGACTGAGCCATACACCAGTCAGGGCCATTGCTTAAATGTTTTGTATCTACACTTCTGATTATATGTAAATATTTTTAAGTCAGATTTCAGCAAGCATTCAAAAACACAAAACCAGTTTATTGGTTCTACAGGCCTTTCTGGACTCTGTACATGTGAGTCTTCCCAGGGATCTCCTTCCCAACTCCCCATTTCCCCCAAAATACAAGTTCTGGTTTTTGCATGGAATTATACTTCAATTATATAGTAATTGTCCAGAGACACTTTGAGAATGAGAATGTATATGTTTCTGTGGTAAAAACATCTAATATATACTCTTTTGTAAAAATTTAGTAAATCCTCAATGATATTTTCACTAGGATTGATTGAGTCTGAATGAGTAGGAAACCTACTTCAAAATAAGTGTCATTCCAGATGGAGTAGATTATTGTGTTGTGTTCAAGTACACTTAACATTTTGGTGTCAGCCAAAGTTTATATTTAGTAAATATACTAGTAAGTACCTTTTGGGTCAGAGTGCATTTATTATGGCACAGCTGGAACATTAATAGTGCCTTGAAATTTTAAAAAGTACTGAATGTTTTTGTTTGTTTAATCTAAGCCTTGAAGGTAAAAACCATGGGATTTCTTTGTTTTCTTTAAAGCTGGAGATACTGATGACCCACCAAGAATTACTCAAAATCCTATTATCAATGGGAATCTAACCATGAGTGATGGGCACAAGAACACAGAAGATATGGAGGATGGTAAGTACCTGTGGGTTGCTTACTTTGCTTGGGCAAAAATTCTGTCAGAAACACAAATAGGTGTGATGTACATTTCTTCCTCACATACTTCTGAGTTTCTTACAAGCAGCTAGTTTTTAAGGAGGTTGTACCTGAGGAAAAATTAGGCTGTTTTGTTGTTGAATTTCAGGATTACTCAAATTTCAAGGTGAGTCTGTTGCCCCCAGCCTAGGTGAGGAGGTTTAAATATAGGAGTTTATAATAGATGGTTGTTTACTCAGGCGTGTAATTTTCCTGCCACTGTAAGTACCCAGAATGAATACACATTACTCTCCTTTTCCTTCTTATTTCCAGCCAGATACTTACTAGACATTGGAACTTGGCTTTCCATTGCCTTCTGGTAGTGTGTATATCAGTTGTCTGTCCCCCACTCCCATTAGATATGAAATCAGACCAAGCTTTGGGCTTCATTCTCCCACACTAACTTTTGGTCTATACCTTCTATGCAAAAAAATGTGCATATGTACATGCATGGCCATTTTGTGCCTATGGAATCACTTTGTTTTGAGGCAGTTTCTTCCTTGTAATTTATTGGATTGTGTGACCTGTACATTAGCAATATCAAAATCATGAGCAGGTAGCAGCCAGTAGTCACTTTATTCAGCCCCTGGAATCTTGCAGTGTAATATGAAACCATGTTCTGTCAAAAGCATGTCCATCAATCCTCATGAGAGTTTGTTGTCCTTTCACTGTTCATGTTCCTTTAACTTCTTTTTCTTAGATAAGTCCCTTTAACATTTCATATAACAAGAGCTTGGTGATGATGAACTCCTTGAATTTGATCTTATCTGAGAAGCACCTTATCTGTCCTTCCATTCTAATTGAAAGTTTTGCTGGATAGAGCAATCTTGGTTGTAGGTCTTTAGATTTTATGACTTGGAATACCTCTTTCCAGCCCCTTCTTGCCTGTAAGGTCTCTTTTGAGAAATTCGCTGACAGTCTGATGGGGACTCCTTTGTAGGTGACTGTCCCCTTAGCTCTTGCTGCTTCTAGGATTCTCTCCTTCATTTTAATTTTGGCTAATATAATGATGATGTGCCTTGGTGTGTTCCTTCTTGGGTCCAACTTCTTTGGGACTCTCTGAGCTTCCTGGACTTCCTGGAGGTCTATTTCCTTTGCCAGATTGGGGAAATTCTCCTTTATTATTTGTTCAAATAAGTTTTCCACTGGTGGCTGTGCCTTTCCCCCTTCTGGTACCCCTATAATTTGGATGTTGGAGTGTTTAAAGATGTCCTGGAGGTTCCTAAGACTCTCCTCATTTCTTTGAATTCTTGCTTCTTGACTCTTTTCTGTTTGGCCATTATTTGCTTTCTTCTGGTCCACTCCATTGATTTGAGTCCCAGTTTCCTTTTCATTGCTGTTGGTGTCCTGTGCAATTCCATTCATTTCAATTAGTCTCACCTTCATATATTTGTCTAATTTGTGGCTACAATCAACCAGTTCTGTGAGAATCCTGATGACCAGTGTTTTAAACTGTGCGTCTGAGAGTTTTGCTATTTCTTCATGGCTTAGATCTATGGGCTCTGGGGCTTTGAGATCTTCTTGCGCCATTTTTGGTCTGTTCGTGCCCTTTAAGTGTGAGAAGCGGCACCTTGGACTCCCAGGTCGCTGGGTTCTGACGCTGTATGTGGGGGCGTGGTCAGAGCGGGGAAATGGCGGGCTTTGAGTTCTTGAGCCATGTTTTGGTCTGTTTGAGCCCCTTACATATGAGGAACGGAGCTTTAAATGTTCACCAGGGCGGGGCTACCCAGGTCGCTGGGTTGTGATGCTGTAAGTGGGGCTGGGGTCAAAGAGGGGAAATAGCCGTCCCCTCTGCTGCTTCCTGCTGCTGGGGCCTGCACAGTCTGTCTCACTTCCTGCTTCTTCTCTGGTTTATCTGCGCGCGAATGTGTGACTGGGGTCAACCTGCCACCTTGCACCCTCACTGAGTCCACCCGTTGCTACCCCACACCTGGGATCTGCCCTCAGCTGCCTGAGGGCCTAGGTCAGGGGATCTTTCCTGCCCAACTCAGCTTGCTGCTGGCTCCACCCCTCTTACTGGTCTGGCTGAAGGGTTCATTGTTGTCGGACTTCTGTATAGTTCAATTTTCTGTGTTTTGGCTGCATTTTTTGTTACTAAAACTTTGTTGTCTTTAAACTTGCTTGTGCAAGAAGGCACAATGTTTCCACCTACACCTCCATCTTGGTGGAAGTCCCAGGCCTTTTTTTTTTAATGTTTTAATTTTTTACTTTTAGAGATAGGGGAAAGGAGGGAGAATGTGTCAATTTTTATCTATATAAAATAATCCTTTGAAGATCTGAATGTGTCTAAAAACAAAATAGAATTAGAAGAGAGGCAGGACTTTACTATGTTGAACTCTTTAGATCCCAGTAGTTAGTGTCCTGGGGTGATTTTCACTTGGTTCCTTTTACTTCTTCAATTACTGTAAAACAGATCAATTTTATTGAGGTCTGTGTTTGGCAGAGTGTTAGAGTAGCACTCTACAAATCATAGGGAGGGTCATTGTGCTTAGTGTTCATGAACCTCGGGCATTGAAATGCTTCTGGCCACCTTGTAAAACAAAGTGGTAGATAAGATGAGCCATTTAACCTTAGCAAACCTCAGTTCCCTCATCTATAAATTGGGAATTAAGTAATAGCTTTCCTTCCCTACTTTGTAGGATTTAAATGCCACTCAGATGTGATCTGTGTATCTATGAAAAAGTGGCCTGTTTTTTTGCTAAACCATTCTAGGCACCATTCTCTTGAGCAAGTTTCATGTCTTCTCAGTGGACTTTTATTTTACCCCAAAGGGATTAGGGTTGCCCGTCACTGGGAGAGGCTCAAATACAGAATGCACCTCTTAGTTGTGACTCAGTCCCTGCTCAGTTGCTCTCCTTTCAGAGGGCTTCTTTGTAAACTGCCAAGCAGTGTTACATGTAGAAAAAAAAATTAGGAATGAAGAAATACTTTTCAAGAAGGTAAAAACACTGTCACACATTCTTTGGGATTTTCTTTCTTTGGTGAAGAATATTGTCCTCTCATGAGGACTGATGGACATGTTTTCCTAAGAACAAATTCAGTTAGTCACAAATAAGCGGTTTGTGTATGCTTAGATGTCTGCAGCCTGAGCACTCGGCCATCTCCTTGGAGATTGAAGGATGAAGGAAGGGAGTGTGCTCTTGACATGCTCTTCTTTCCCTAAGGCTCCAGTCTCATTGGTACCTCAGGAGCCTGTGGGAATGGATGTGAAAATAGCACCTGATTCTTAAAAAGCCTTCCAAGCTCCTGCTATTCTGTAGACCAATTTGTATCTCCTCAGGGGTGGCCCTTGGTTTCCTGCCTGTCTGTGAACTGTTCCCATTCTGCAAAGAGATAGATATAGAAAGCTGTGGCAGTTTTATGATGTTTTATTAGGAAGTGCTGGCAGTGACAGATTGGCATGGTGGCCTTGGAAGGACTACTTCTTCACGTGAGGAGTCTGAGAAGCATCACTGTGTACACTGCTGGGTTTGTCAAAGCTAACTGGGGCCTGTGTCACTTAAATGAATAGCCACCACGAGTAAAAGGTAGAAATCTGAAGTGTGTGACATTAGTTAAAAGTCCACTAAGAGGCCCTATATCAACACTTTGCTTTTTATTGGGGAAAACCACAATTCCTTTAATTGGCCTTCAGTTTCATTTCAGTAATAAAAAAATAGCTTCTTTTTGTATTTTAAAAGTTATTTTTTCCCTAGCTGGTGTGGCTCAGTGGATTGAGTTCTGGCCTGCAAACTGAAAGGTCACTGGTTAAATTCCTAGGCAGGGCACATGCCTGAGTTTTGGGCCAGGTCCCCAGTTGGAGGTGTGCAAGAGGCAATTGATTGTTGCACCTTTCACAAGTGGATGTGTCTCTCCTTCTCTTTCTCCCTCCCTTCCCCTCTCTGTAAAAACTAAAAAAAAAAAAAAAAAAAAAGTTATTCTCCCAGGGAGTCCAGGCTGGTGTTTCACAATAATTGTGAACTAAGATGCTAACTTTTATTTTTAGGCTAACTTTATAGCAGTGTTTTTTGGCTGTAAACAGCACTGCTCTTCCTTGGGTTTGGCCATTTCCCACTCCCCCCAGAGGGCCTCCTTTGTTATTGCAAGTTCAGCGCCCCCTTCTTTTTTTCCCTCCAGCTCAGCCCATTTCTGAAACTTTTTTCCTTTCATCTACAAGTCCTGTTCTTGAACAAATGTTACATGTTTCATCCCTTCTCTCCACAGCCCCTCCATGCACTGAGGATTATGTGGGAATTAAGATAGGGTAGAACAGATGTTCTCATCACGCAGAACTCTTAGATCGAGGAGGGAAGGCAGGTGTGTGTTGTTAGCCTTCTGAGTTTGGGGTTTCATTCACACTGAAAGTGTATGTCATTGTATTGCTTTAGGTTATTTAGTAACTTGGAACTCTTACTATCATTTTCCCAGGGATCTGGGTTTTAGCAGCTAGGTTGGGGTTGTGTAGAATAGTTCATCCCCGCTTGTCCGTGCTTTCAGGCCTCTTTTCCTAGAGCACAGGCTCTGATTGTCAACCTGTTTTCTTGCAGACACGAGTTGGCGCTCTGAGGCAACCTTTCAGTTCACTGTCGAGCGCTTCAGCACACTAAGTGAGCCGGTCTTTAGCCCTCCGTGTTTTGTGCGAAATCTATCATGGAAGATTCTGGTGATGCCACGCTTTTATCCAGACAAACCACACCAAAAAAGCGTAGGATTATTTCTCCAGTGCAATGCTGAAGCTGATTTTGTGTAAGTTTAAATGATGCAACTACAAATCATCAAGTAGTTTAGTACACTGGAAGTCAAATATGATTGGCCTTTTTGTATTTTGAAATTTTTTGGAATTTTCTTACTGATGTACATAGCTCTTTGATTTTAAATTAGACTCAACACATTCCCCTCTTTAGAACTCACTGGTAAGTACTATATCCAAACTAGAAAAGATGTATATTTTTTCTTGCAAATAATAAAAGTTTGGGTTTAGGGCTTTCTGACAAGATGGAGGCAAAGGCAGACATGGCTCACCTCTTCACACAACCACATCAAAATTACAACTAAAATATAGAACAACCATTACTCAGGAACATCTGAAATTGAGATGAATGGAAGTCTGACAACTACAGAATTAAAGAAACCACATCCATTCAGACTGGGAGAAGGGTTACAGCCATGAAGCAGGCTGGCCACACACCCATGTGGATAAAAATTTGGGATGGATATCTCAGGAGCAAGAAGTCACACCCCCACACCAGGCCCCCCAGCCCAGGATTCCAGTGCCAGGAAGATAAGTCCCCACAACTTCTGGCTGCAAAAACCAGTGGGCATTGAGTTGGTGGAGGAGGCTGCTGGAGCCCTAAGCAGTTTCTTTTAGGGAACCCACAAATGGACTCATTTACTCAGACTGGCTTCCTCTGAGCTCCAGCACTGGGGAGGCAGCTTGAAAGACACCAGTGCTATCCAGAGAGAGACTAAAGTGTCTGATTCAGAGCAAGCAGAGGCCATTGTCCCTTTGCTGAGCCCTCAACCCACAGAGTTTATAGGCTGGTGCCATATCTGAGACTCCATTGACTTGGCTAACACTGTATGATACACCTTGGAGATCCACAAAGACTCTACATAAAAATAGCTGGTCTTGGCTCCTAAATCCTATCAAACAAGCAACAGCTGGTTTCAGTGAGCCATAGCAGCAGCCAGATTAGATCCCCAGCTTGGTTTTCCCTGGGAACTCCAAACTGAGCATAAGTAGTAGCCATCTCAGATTGCTTTACAGCCCAGCAGGGTGGCCCCAGGCAGAACACAGGAAGGTGTTGACCTTGAACTGCACTCCACAGGAAACCTTAGGGCCAGTGTACCCAGTGGATAGGCACAGACCACATCAGAGCACCATCACCCTGCCCCTGCACAGCTGATCCTCCATGGAGGGCAGAGATTGGAGAACAGTGATCACAGCTGATCCTTGCAGCGGACTGGCCTGGGTAAATCCCTCCAGTGGGTCTGCTAACAGCAACCAAGGCTCAAGTACAAGAGGAGGGTGTACTCAGTCCTCAAGAAGGGTGCACCTTGAGTACCCAGCTTGTGTGGTAGGGGAAGCTATGCCACTAGACCCTACAGAACACCTATGACCTTAAGCCATACTACCAAGACATGGAAACAAAGCAGCTCTACCTAGTGCATAGAGACAAACACGGGGAGGCTACCAAAAGAAGGAGACAAGGAAATATGGCCCAAATGATAGAACAGATCAAAACTCCAGAAAAAGAGCTAAATGAAATGGTGATAAGCAATCTATTAGATGCAGAGTTCAAAACAGTGATTATAAGGATGCTCAAGGAACTTAGTGAGGACCTCAGCAGCACAAAAAAGACCCAGTGAGGAGACTTCTGGCCAAGATGGAGGTGTAGGTAGACAAACTCTGCCTCCTTGCACAACCAAAATTAAGGACAACAAAAATTTAGAAACAAAAAAAAAGCCATATCTGACAGAAAATTGAACTGTACAGAGGTCCAACAATCATTCATCCAGACTGGTAAGAAGAGCAGAGTTGGTGGCTGGTAGAGAGGGGTTATGGCAGGAAAAAGTGGTGATTGGTGGTCCCAGGCATGCAGGTGGTGGCTGGCAGACTCCAGGTGCAGGTTGGCAACAGGCAGACCCAGTGAGGCGTGCAAGGCTGCTGGCTGACCACAAACACACATTTGCACGCAGATAAACCAAGCGATAATGGGGAGTGAGACAGACTGCACAACCCAGGGCCCCAGTGTCAGGAAATAAAGCCTAAAAGCACCATTTGAAAACACTTGTGGGAGTTGAGGTGCCAGGGAGACTTCCAGCCTCACAGGAGAGTTTGCTGGAGAGACCCACAGGGTCCTAGAATGTATACAAGCCTACCCACCCAGGAACCAGCACCAGAAGGACCCAATTTGCTTGTGGGGAGCAGCAGAAGGAACTGAAATACGAGAGGGGAGCAAGTGCTATTGTTTCCTCTCTGACCCCACCCCCAACCCGACATAAAGCATCGCAATCCAGCTACTGGGTTGCCCTGCCCTGGTGAACACCTAAGGCTCCACCCCTCAGTACATAACAGGTGAGACCAGACTCTCTCCCCAAAATGGCTCAAACAGAAGAACAAATCAAAGCCCCAGAGCCAATACTTTTAAGTGACCAAGAGATAGCCAACCTTTCAGATACACAGTTCAAAGCACTGGTGAACAGGATGCTCACTGAACTGGTTGATTTTTGTCACAAATTAGATGAAAAAATGAAGGCTACACTAAATGAAATGAAGGAAAATGCACAGGGAACCAATAGTGATGGAAAGGAAACTGGGACTCAAATAAATGGAGTGGACCAGAAGGAAGAAAGAAACAACCAAAGAGAAAAGAATGAAGAAACAAGAATTGAAAAAAATGAGGAGAGGCTTAGGAACCTCCAGGACATCTTTAAATGTTCCACCAGCCAAATTATAGGGGTACCAGAAGGGGAAGAGGAAGAGCAACAAATGGAAAACTTATTTGAACAAATAATAAAGGAGAACTTCCCCAATCTGGCAAAGGAAATAGACTTCCAGGAAGTCCAGGAAGCTCAGAGAGTCCCAAAGAAAGTGGACCCAAGAAGGAACACACCAAGGCACATCATAATTACATTAGCCAAGATTAAAATGAAGGAGAGAATCCTAGAAGCAGCAAGAGCTAAGGGGGCAGTCACCTACAAAGGAGTCCCCATCAGACTGTCAGCGAATTTCTCAAAAGAGACCTTACAGGCAAGAAGGGGCTGGAAAGAAGTATTTCAAGTCATGAAAGGCAAGGACCTACATCCAAGATTGCTCTATCCAGCAAAGCTACCATTTAGAATGGAAGGGCAGATAAAGCGCTTCTCAGATAAGATCAAGTTCAAGGAGTTCATCATCACCAAGCCCTTGTTATATGAAATATTAAAGGAACTTATCTAAGAAAAAGAAGATAAAAAACATGGGCAGTGAAAGGACAGCAGACTCACAATTATTAACAACCACACCTAAAACAAAAACAAACTAAGCTAACAACTAGAACAGGAACAGAACCACGGAAATAAAGATCACATGGAGGGACAGCAACAAGGGAGTGGGAGAAGGAGAGAGGAGGAAAAGTTACAGAGAATAAGTAGCATAGACAGTAGGTAGAAAATAGACGGGGAGGGCAAGAATAGTGTGGGAAAGGTAGAAGCTAAAGAACTTATTACACATGGACATGAACTAAAGGGAGGGAATGTGGGTGGGAGGGGGTGCAAAGGGTGGAGGGGAATAAAGGGCGGGGGGGAATGAGACAACTATAATAGCATAATCAATAAAATATATTTTAAAAAGACAGTGAGAAATGAAGGATACACTAATTGAAGTAAAGAACAATTTACTATTTGAAGTAAAGAACAATTTATATGGAAACAACAGTTGAATGGATGAAGCTGAGAGTTACGCCAATGATTTGGAACATAAGGAAGCAAAAACAACCACACAGAACAACAAGAAGAAAAAAGAACCCAAATAAATGAGGATGGTATAAATAGCCTATGAGACAAGTTTAAAAGGTCTAACAATTTCCTCATGGGGTATCAGAAGGAAAAGAGAAAGAGTAAGAAATTGGAACTCTACTTGAAAAAATAGTGAAAGAAAAGTTCCATAATTTGGTGAAGGAAATAGACATACAAGTCCAGAGAGCACAGAGTCCCAACTATCATAGATGCAAAGAGATGCACTCAAAGACACATCATTATTCAAAGGTCAAAGGTTAAAGATAAAGAGAGACTCTTAAAAGCAAGAGAAAAATTAGTTATTGGAAGGTTGCCAGATTGGAGGGATGCAAGGGAGAATGGGTAAAGAGGTGAGATTAAGAAGTACAAATAGGTAGTTACAGAATAGTTATGGGGATGTAAAGTATAGTGTAGGAAAAGGAGTAGCCAAAGAATTTATACACCTGACCCATGGACGTGAACAATGATAGGGGGATAGCCTGAGGGAGTTGGGGTACTAAGTAGAGGGGCAAATGGGGAAAAATCAGAACAACTGTAACAGCATAATCAATAAAATATAGTAAAAAACCCTAAAGTTTGTAGGAACATGAAATCAAGACTCAGTAGACTAGTCAGCCCATGAGGCTGACTACTGGTTTACCAAGCTTAATTCTTATTCACCAGTAACTCTCCAAGGGGAAAATTGTAGTTAAGGAAAGTTCTTTAAAAAATTTAAGTATATTTTATTGGTTATACTGTTATAGGTGTCCCACTTTTTTCCCCCTTCTCTTTATCTCCCTCCTCCCTGCCCTGCCCTCCTCACCCTCTAGTATCCCCCTGCCCCCACCCCTTAGTTCATGTCCATGAGTCATACATATAAGTTCGTTGGCATCTCCATTTCCTATACTATTTTAACTCCCCCCTGACTATTTTGTGTCTACCTATTCTGCTTCTTATTACCCATACATATTCCCCCATTGTCTTCCTCTCCCTCCCCTCTGATAACCTTCCATTTCTGCAATCTCCATTTCTGCAATTCTGTTCCTGTTCTAATTTGCTTAGTTTTTGTTTTTTAGGTTCAGTTGTTGTTAGCTGAGGGTTTGTTGTTATTTAACTCTTCATAGTTTTTGATCTTCTATTTCTTAGATAAGTCCTTTTAACATTTCATATAATAAGGGCTTGGCGGTGGTGAACTCCTTTAGTGGTGGCCATATATCTTTGTGCGCACCTGTTACTGTAAGGGGCAGAGCCTTAGATATTCACTAGGGCAGGTCAATCCTCTTTGCTGTGTTGTGGTACTGTCTCCACAGATGCTCAGAGAAGGAACAATGCTGCTTGCTCTGCCCTTGTCCCACTTTCTATCACTTCCTTCACTTCCCGTAAGCAGTTTGTGCCCCAGAGGACACTAGCTCTAGCTATTCTGTCAAAGCTTTAGGAAGTACTACTCATTTTATGTTTCTTACTGGAAGTTTTAAGAAGTGCCAAGCCCCTTTTATAATGCAGTTAGGACTGTATGTAGGTTAAGATATTTTTCCCCCTATGGTCAAATTATGGTCTGATCTGATGAGTATTGAGCGAGATTTTAGTCTTAATAGCCACAGTCTGAACAGTAGTTTGGAAACAGTGAGTAGTTCACATCCAGCATAAGAACACTGAGCAAGTGGAAGTGCCGATGCGCTGGCACTGCTCTTTTCGGCGTTTCAGTGAGTTTGCAGCATTGTGAACCTTTCAGTGGACTTTTAAAGTGGCATAGCTTTTGGTTTTTAAACACTGATCCGGAGGCCCTTTGTGATCTGCCCCAAACGTGACGGACTCCATCTATGGTTCTGTCACTTGTGGTTGTGATTCAGCACCACGCTCAGAGTTTGTCAGGGGCCCCCTGCTACAAACCTGCCCACAGGCCTGAGTCAGAGGTGCTCTTGAGAAACTGACAGTACCTGTAAAGGTACCAGGGGCAGGAGTGACACCGACAAGTGACACCTGCATTAGTAGAACCTAGAGCTTCAAGTCTATTTTAAAAAAGCATTATCATCATTCTTGTTTTCCTATTCTTTTAAAATGCTATCCCAAAAATTGTAACTTGACCCCAAAACTATAGTCTCTTATAAAATTTCAACATGTATTTTAAAGATAGCAATAAAAAAATGTGACTTTAACTTTTGAAAAATTACAAAATAAATAAAGCCAAGAGTTAAACCAATAGGTAAGGGCACCTCAATCCTTCTTAGCCTTTTCTCCCCTCTAGGTAAATATGGTTGCCAACCACCCACCCTCCCCACACACAAACAAGATAAATATGGGAATTTTTGTGTGCTGTGTTTTTAAAAATATATAAACATCAATGAAATATTTCACCTAAGGCTTAGATTGTTTTCTTTAAACAGGTCATGGTCTTGTCATGCACAAGCAGCGCTAAAGATAATAAATTACAGAGATGAGGAGAAGTCATACAGTCGTCGTATTAGTCATTTATTCTTCCACAAAGAAGATGATTGGGGATTTTCCAATTTTATGGACTGGAGTGTAAGTAACAGTGAGTTTAGACTGAGTAATAATCTGAGCAATATTGTATTCCCCTACATCTTACATTATTCATAGCCTGCTATTTACTAATTTATTTATTCATTTATTATTGATTTTGGAGCGAAAGAGAACAGGGGAGAGTCATCAGTTTGTTGTTATACTTATTTATACACTCATTGGTTGATTTTTATATGTATCCTGACTAAATATTGACCATGCAACATTGTTATACTACAGTGACACTCTAAGCACCTGAGCTACCTTGCCAGGGCACCTTCATTCATTTTAGAATCAAAGTGTTTGTTTTATAAGTTGGGCAGCTGTCTATGTGTTTCCTTCCTACCTGACCTTTTTTGAGCCAGCAGGACTAAAGTCTCAACATTTTGTCAAACATTGTAAGCTAGTCAATAGCATCATTCCTGATAGGTATACACTTCCTTTAAAAGCAATAATATCAGTTGGGATCCTTCCATAAGTCAGACACGGTGCAGGGTGGCTTCACGAAGCTTCATGAATTCTCAAGTCAGTTCATGTTGGCTGTTTTGGCAGAGGTGGAAACGTGCTTAGGAACGTCCTGCTCGGTCTCCTACCATGGGTTCTGTGGAACCTCCCCCGCCCTGCTGCAATGAGCGTGCCCTCATCCCTCATTTTCCATGCCATGGCCTGGCACTCCCAGTGCCTCTGGGATGCCACTTCTTTTTTTTTTTTTTTTAATTTTATTTAGTTATTTTTCAAGTACAGTTTTTTGTCTATTTTTCCCATCCCAGCCTCCCCCGCCCCTTGCTCCCCACCTCCCTCTCTTTTCCACCCCCCTTAGTTCTCGTCCCTGTGTCCTTCCTATTTGTTCCTCCAAATCCCTCCCCCTTTTTCCCCTTAACTTCCCTTCCTTCTCCCCTCTGGTCACTATCCCCTTGTTCTCTATTTCAGTGTCTTTGTTTTTTTTTTCTGCTTGCTTGTTTGTTTTGTTGTTTAGCTTCCTGTTAAAGGTGAGATCATATGGTATTTGTCTTTCAGCACCTGGCCTATTTCACTCAGCATAATGCTTTCCAGTTCCATCCATGTTGTTGCAAAAGGTAGTAGCTCCTTCTTTCTCTCTGCAGCATAGAATTCCATTGTGTGTATCTACCACAATTTTTGGATCCATTCATTTACTGATGGGCACCTAGGTTGCTTCCAAGTCTTGGCTATTGTAAATTGTGCTGCTATGAACATTGTGGTGCATAGGTTCTTTGATATTGATGTTTTAGGATTCTTAGGATATAATCCCAGCAGTGGAATTGCTGGGTCAAAAGGCAGGTCGATTTTTATTTTTCTGAGAAAATTCCATACTGTTTTCCATAATGGTTGTACCAGTCTGCAATCCCACCAACAGTGACCTAAGGACCCCTTTTCCCCACAACCTCTCCAACATTTGTTGTTTGTTGCTTTGTTTATGACAGCCATCCTGACTGGTGTAAAGTGGTATCAAATTGTGGTTTTAATTTGCATCTCTCTGATAGCTAACGATATTGAGCATCTCTTCATGTGTCTCTGAATGTTCTGTATGTCCTCCTTGGAGAAGTGTTTATTCAAGTCCTTTTCCCATTTTTTAATTGGGTTGGGTGTCTTCTTAGAGTGGAGTCGTGTAAGTTCTTTGTATATTTTGGAGATTAAACCTTTGTCTGAGGTATCATTGGCAAATATGTTTTCCCATACAGTTGGTTGTCTTGCTAATTTAATACTGTTTTCTTTAGCCGTGCAGAAGCTTTTTATTTTGATGAGATCCCATTTGTTTATTCTTTCCTTTACATTGCTTACTCTAGGGGACATATCAGTAAAGAAGTTGCTGCGTGAAATATCTGAGATTTTCTTGCCAATGTTCTCCTCTAGGACTTTAATGGTGTCACGACTTACATTTAAGTCTTTTATCTACCGTGAATTTATTTTGGTGTATGGTGTAAGTCTGTGCTCAAGTTTCATTTTTTTTGCATGTAGCTGTCCAGTTCTCCCAACACCATTTGTTGAAGAGGCTATCTTTACTCCATTTTATGTTACTGCCCCCTTTGTCAAATATTAATTGACTGTAGAGAGTTGGGTTGATTTCTGGGCTCTCTGTTCTGTTCCATTGGTCTATGTGCCTGTTTTTATGCCAGTACCAGGCTGTTTTGATTACAGTGGCCTTGTAATACAGTTTGATATCAGGTATTGTGATCCCCCCTACTTTGTTCTTCTTTCTCAAAAGAGCAGCTGCTATTCGGGCTCGTTTATGGTTCCGTATAAATTTTTGAAGTGTTTGTTCTATGTCTGTGAAATATGCCATTGGTACTTTAATAGGTATTGCATTGAATCTGTATATTGCTTTGGGTAGTATGGACATTTTGATGATGTTAATTCTTCCAATCCATGAACAAGGTATATGTTTCCATTTGTTTGTGTCTTCCTTGATTTCGTTTTTCAGGGCTGTGTAGTTTTCTGCATACAGGTTTTTTACCTCCTTAGTTAGGTTTATTCCCAGATATTTTATTTTTCTTTTTGCTATATCAAATGGGATTTTTTTCTTTATTTCTGCTTCTGCTGATTCACTGTTGGTATACAAAAATGCCTTTGATTTCTGGATATTGACTTTGTAACCTGCTGTTTTGCCAAATTCATTAATTAGTTTGAGCAGTTTTTGGGTAGAGTCTATAGGATTTTCCATGTACACTATCATGTCATCTGCAAACAGTAACAGTTTTGCTTCCTCCTTTCCTATTTGGATGCCTTTTATTTCCTTTTCTTGCCTGATCACTGTGGCTGAAACTTCCAATACTATATTGAATAGAAGTGGTGAAAGTGGACAACCTTGTCTTGTTCCTGATCTTAGTGGAAAAGCTTTAGTTTTTGCCCATTGAGTATGATATTGGCTGTAGGTCTCTCATATATGGCCTTTATTATTTTGAGAAATGCTCCCTGTATTCCTACTTTGCTGAGTGTTTTTATCATAAATGGGTGTTGTACCTTATCTAAAGCTTTTTCCGCATCTATTGATATGATCGTGTGGTTTTTGTCTTTGCTTTTGTTTATGTGATGTATTACATTTACTGATTTGCGAATATTGAACCATCCTTGCATCCCTGGGATGAATCCCACTTGATCATGGTGTATGATCTTATTGATATATTGTTGGATGCGATTTGCCAATATTTTGTTGAGGATTTTAGCATCTATGTTCTTCAGCAATATTGGCCCGAAGTTTTCTTTCTTTGTTGTGTCTCTATCTGGTTTTGGAATTAAGATGCTGCTGGCTTCATAAAAAGAATTTGGGAGTTTTCCATCCTTCTGGATTTTTTGAAATAGTCTGTGAAGAATAGGGGTTAGCTCTTCCTTAAATGCTTTGTAGAATTCTCCTGTGAACCCATCTTGTCCAGGGCTTTTGTGTGATGGGAGTTTTTTGATTACTGCTTCAATTTTATTTGCTGTTATTGGTGTATTTAGATTTTCTGCTTCTTTTTCACTGAGTTTTGGAAGATTGTATTTTTCTAGAAACGTGTCCATTTCCCCTAGGTTTTCAAATTTCTTGGCATACAGTTCTTCATAGTAATTTCTTACAATCCCTTCTATTTCTGTGGTATCAGTTGTAATCTCTCCTTTTTCATTTCTGATTCTGTTTATTTGTGTCCTCTCTCTTCTTTTCTTGATGAGCCTACTTAAAGGCTTGTCTATTTTGTTTATCTTCTCAAAGAACCAACTCCTGGATTCATTGGTCCTTAAAATTGTGCTTTTAGTTTCTATGTCATTTAATTCTGCTCTAATCTTGGTTATTTCCTTCCTTCTGCTTGCTCTGGGCCATCTTTGTTGTTGTTCCTCGAGTTCTTGCAGGCGTAGGGTTAGGTTGTTTGTTTGAAATGTTTCTATTTTCTTTAGGTAGGCCTGTATTGCTATAAACTTCCCTCTCAGGACTGCCTTTGCTGTGTCCCATAAGTTTTGGGTTGTTGTGAGATCATTTTCATTTGTTTCCAGAAATGTTTTGATTTCTTCCCTAATTTCATTCTTAATCCATTCGTTGTTTAATAGCATACCATTCAGTCTCCATGTTTTTGGGTGCTTTGGGCTTTTTTCTTTGGGGTCGGTTTCTAATTTCAGTCCCTTGTGGTCAGAGAAGATACTTGGTATGATTTCAATTTTCTTGAATTTTTTGAGGCTCGTTTTGTGTCCTATCATGTGGTCTGTCTTTGAAAATGTTCCATGTGCATTTGAAAAGAATGTGTATTTAGCTTCTTTGGGATGAAGGGCTCTATATATATATCAGTTAAATCCATTTCATCTAGGGTGTTGTTTAATGCCACAATATCTTTGTTGATAATTTGTTTGGAAGATCTGTCCATTTTTGATAGTGGGGTGTTAAAATCCCCTACTATAATTGTGTTGCTGTCAATATCTTTCTTGAAGTCCTCTAAGATTTTCTTGATATATTTGGGTGCCCCTATGTTTGGTGCATATATGTTTACAATGTTAATGTCTTCTTGGTGGATACTTCCCTTGAGTATAATGAAGTGACCTTCTGGGATTCTCTTTATAGCCTTTTTTTTTTAAGTCTATTTTGTCTGATATGAGAATTGCTACCCCAGCTTTTTTTTCTTGTCCGTTTGCTTGGAAAACTTGTTTCCAGCCTTTCACTTTTAGTCTGTGATGGTCTTTTGTCCTGAGGTGGGTCTCTTGTAGGCAGCATATGTGTGGGTCATGCTTTCTTATCCATTGAGCTACTCTGTGTCTTTTGATTGGAGAATTTAATCCATTTACGTTTAAGGTTATTATTGATAGGTACTTATTCATTGCCATTTTTGTACCTGTGTTCCTCTCTGTCTCCCTCTTATCCTTCCTTCCCTTAAAGCAGTCCTTTTATTATTTCTTGTAGAGCTGGTTTGGTGGAAGCATATTCTTTTAGACTTCTTTTGTCTTGGAAGCTCTTTATTTGGCCATCTATCTTGATTGAGAGCCTTGCTGGGTAAAGTAGCCTTGGTTGTAGGCCTCTGGTTCTCATTACTTGAAATATTTCTTGCCATTCTCTTCTTGCTTGAAGTGTTTCCACTGAGAAGTCAGTAGCTAACCTTATTGGGGCTCCCTTGTATGTTATTTCTTTTTTCTCCCTTGCTGCCTTTAAGATTCTCTCTTTGTCTTGGAATTTTGCCATTTTGATGATGATGTGTCTTGAAGTGGGCCTCCTTGGGTTCCTCTTGGTTGGGACTCTCTGTGATTCCTGGATTTGTGAGACTTTTTCTCTTATCAAATTAGGAAAATTTTCTCTCATTACTCGTTCAAATACGTTTTCTATCCTTCTTCTTCTTCTCCTTCTGGTATTCCTATTATTCGGATATTACTACGTTTCATATTGTCTTGCATTTCTCTTAATCCCTCTTCATTCTTTCTGAGCCTCTTTTCATTTTCTTGCTCTTTCTGTGAGATGCTTTCTACCTTGTCCTCTAACTCACTAATCCTATCCTCCGCTTCATCTATCCTACTTTGGAAACTTTCTACTGTGTACTTCAATTCGGAAATTGTGTTCTTCATTTCCTCTTGTCTCTTGCTGATAGTTTCCATTTCCTTTTTGATGTTGCTGTAGTTTGCAGAGAGATCATTATAGTTCCCCTGTAGTTTCTGGTAGTTCACTGTGAGCTCTTTGAACTTTGTAATAACCAGTGCTTTGAATTCACTGTCTGATAGTTGATCAGCCTCTATTTCATCTAACATTCTTTCTGAAGTTTCTGCTTTTTCTTTCATTTGGAGATTCTTTCTTTGTCTTCCCATTGTTTGAGACTCTTCTTGTTAGTCTCTGCTTCTAAAATTGATCTGTTCTAAAACCCTGGTTTTATGGTGTAAACTTCTGTGGTATGATCCTTGTGCAGACTCCTTGAAGTTTCTTGATATTCTTCATCTCCACCTACACTCACGCTGGTCCTCGCGCTGGTCCCTGCGTTGGTCGCCTACCACTGCTGAATGTCCCGGCTCTAGTAGCCGCCTCCTCAAGCACCCAGACCCGTTACTAGGGCAGCGGCACAGAGGCTGGGAATGTCCTGGCTCCCATATCTGGCTCTCTCTGCCGCCCAGGGCCGTCACAGGGGTTTGGAGTGTCCCGATTTCCGTACCTGACTCCCCGGCGTCTAGTCCTGTCTCTCTGGCAGTGGCACAGAGGCTTAGAATGTCCCAACTCCCGTACCTGATTCCCCAGTGTCCAGTCCCGTCACTATGGCAGCAGCACAGGGGCTGAGAGCGTCCCAGTTCCCGTAGAGGGCTCCTCTGCCACCCAGGTCTGTCTCAGGGGTTTGGAGAGTCCTGGCTTCCGTACCTGACTCCCCGGCATCCAGTTCCGTCGCTATGGCAGCGGCACAGGATCTGAGGACTTCCCGGCTCCCGTAGCTGGCTCCTCTGCTGCTTCACAGGGGTTTGGAGAGTCCTGGCTTCTGTACCTGACTCCCCGGCATCCAGGCGACCGGATGTCCCGTTATCCCGGCATCCGTCGCTATGGCAGCGGCACAGGATCTGTGAACGTCCTGGCTCCCGTAGCTGGCTCCTCAGGGCCCAGGCCTGTCTCTATGGTGGTGTCACAGTGGCCTTTGGTGTCCCAGCTCCTGCAACTGACCCTTCTATTGCCCAGGCCGGTAGCTATGGCATCGGTGCAAGGGCCAAGAATGTCCCCGCTCCGGTTCCTGACTCCTCTGTCTCCCAGGACCGTCACAGGGGCTTGGAGTGTTCGGCTTCCGTACCTGACTCCCCGGCTCCCAGGCCTGTTGCTCTGGTGGCAGCACAGGGGCCGCGTGAGATCCAGCTCCAGTAGCTGACTCTACCGCCGTCTGGTGTTTCAGTGTCGGTCACAATCTCTGGTCTTTTAATTTCATAAATGCTGGGTAACCGATGGTTTATTGTGCTGTTTCTCTATAGATCTGCCAGGATTTTCACCCATGAGTACAGGAGCTAGTATCAGCTCCATCTTACTCCGTCGCCATCTTCCCAGCATCCTGGGGGATGCCACTTCTTGTTTAGATAACACTGTTCACAATAAACTAAAATGCTGCAAAAGTACAAGCATAATTTGGGTGTTTGAAAAAGCACTATTTTAATTTATTAACTAGGGTAATTGTCACTTTGGAATGAAGTGAGCATTTGTGTGATCTTATACAAGTTGGATATGCTTATTATTATTTATTTTTTAGGAAGTGACTGATCCTGAGAAAGGATTTATAGATGATGACAAAGTGACTTTTGAAGTCTTTGTACAGGCGGATGCTCCCCATGGAGTTGCGTAAGTTTTTCCTTATTTGTGTGCTGTGACGAGACGTGTTTTGTGCTGTAGTGAGAGCAATACTCACACATGATCAGAAATGCATGATTCCACAGAGAAGCTCCCTCTCTGTGCTTGTCCCTTGGCACACATGGAACATATAGACATGTACGCCAGCTCCACATTCACTGCTTCGTTTAGCAGATTTATTGAACAAGATGCTGTATGCCAGACCCTGCTGCTCACTACAGATGTAATCAGGTGGTCAACAAGACGAGACAGCCTTGGGTTTCTATTCATAAAGAAGGTACAGACTGGTCAGGCAAAGGAGCAAGACCAAAACGTAAATAACTGCAGCAGGAGGTGCTCCGTTTTTATCTTGAAGAGGTCGGGGATGTCCTTGTGTGCTGGTGGCCCTGCTGAGCAGATGAGGTAGTGAGTGGGGCACTGTAGAGCTTAGCGGACAGCCTACAAGGAGATGCTTCTACTTCTGCCACTCAATTCAGGAGGGTCTGTATGCAATAAGTAGTTTTAGCCTTACAGAGTGTATTGGGTTATTAGTTGATAAGGTGGGGCAGTGGAATTCAGGGAGAAGGACATGCATAAAGACACCAGCAAGAAAGTTTGGGATTGGGCAGAATATGAGGGAAGTTGAAGTGATGTGGACAGTGGCCCACAGTGTCCACGTCATCATGGATGAAATGAGACATTCACATGGACTCCTGAATTCGGTGGAGGAAGAGGGACAGCATGGCTTTTCTCTCAAGGGGAGCAAAAGCCTCAGCTCTTGCCATGACCAGCCATTATTGCGTTTCTCTGCAGATTATATGATGGTCCTCATTTATTATGCACAGGTTGCTTTAGGTGGTTACCTTTTACAGAAAACAAAGGAGCTACTCACATTACAGAAGAAGGATATTTGCAAATGAAAAGGGAAAAGTGATTGGACTGGTTACACTGGTCCTAGGAAGGTTAAGCATGGATATTAGGAAGTTATTTTGCAATAAATGTTTGCCACAAATCCGGGTGAGAGAGTTTTTAGCAAAAAGCAAGACTCAAAGTGGCCTAGGTATATAGCAGGCCTAATTCCCCACAAAAGAACCTATCCGTGGGCATGGGACCTGGGCTCACGCAGTGCAGAATGGTCTCCTACATTGAAGGATGGATCTGAAGGTTGAGATAGTAAGTTGGGAGCAGGTTGTAGAAGAATACCAGACTATGAAGGCTCAGAGTAAAACTGTAACATTCTATCTAGGAAGAAGTTAAGTGACAGGTTCCAATCTCTTACTTGCCATACTTTGTTTCCACATGGACTTACTCTTGGGCAAGAGTGCATTGGTTGACTCTGATGGAAGGGGGCAGAGGAGCAGTGGGGTGGCCATGAAGGAATTAATACTAAATCCAGATCCAGGCTAAAGTAGTCTGGGTGAGGCACTGGAATTGTTTTTAAAAACACTAATAACATTTACTAGCTTTATATTAATTGAACTGATATCAGAGGAATCAGGCTTTTCTTGAGTAACCTTTTCAAAACATGCATTCATCTTGTATTGAAAGACCTAAAGTAGGGGGCTGAAGCAAGTGAGCTCTAATTAAAATTGTGTGAGGGTTTCCCCTTTTCATTTCAAACCTTTTTCCTGTATCTCTTGACTTTAAAAAGTGTATTGGGTTTTCAGGATTACCAGTCAAAAGAGATTTATTGGTTCAGCCACACATGTCAAAACTTATTCAACTGCCCTGGCTGGTGTAGCTCAGTGGATTGAGTATGGTCTATGAACCAAAGGGTCACCAGTTTGATTCCCAGTCAGGGCACATGCCTGGGTTGTGGGTCAGTTCCCCAGTGGGGGCCACGTGAGAGGCAACCACACATTAATGTTCTCTTCCTCTCTTTCTCCCCTCCTTCTTCTCTCTTTAAAAATAAATTTAAAAAATCATTTAAAAAACGTATTCAACCATTATCTCTTAAATCTTTATGATTATACTTTTTCAAATAATCATTTGTATCTCAGGGTTCTTGCATTTTTTTACAATTTAAAAATTGTTTAAAAATTATTTTTAGTGTATTTTTTCCATTACCATTTATTAAAAATTATTTTAACACACACATGAATTTTAACTGGGACCTTTTACACACCTGAGTATGTTTGCAAGGCCATGGACTAACCTCTGGAATCAGAGTACTGTTGACCTCACAAAAAGATTGGTCACACTTTGTGGCGATCACATTTGTTTATGTCTTTGCATTATAGAAGACTAAGAAGAAAAGGTTGTAGATGTTTGAAAGTCTGCATTAAAACTTGCCAGTATACATACTTGTCCTTCCCTGTGTGTATGACAAGAGAAAAGAGGGGTCCCAACCTGTTTCCATTTCTTGCTGAGTGCATGTGACCTAATATGAATGTAATAGAACTACACTGGGGGTCAGTTTGCTCCAAGTTTATAGAATGTAATTTGTATCTGTGAGTACTGATCTTGGTAAGTGATGGTCATGTTGCTCTCAGCAGGCAGTGTTTTAAGCTGCTTCTTCAATGCTGGGGTTGAATTAGCACTGGTCCATGTACTTGGGTGGACAGAATCAATGACCATTAAAGGGAGCCCTGTGATAAGAACTCTTGGCCTTGGTGTCTTCAGTGCCGTGGTCCTGGTGATGAGTCATTAACTTGGAGGGGTGCTCAGCCTTCATTCCTGTGTCAGGATGGTGGGAAATAGCAGGCTGGCATCTGGTTGAATTGCTGCACACATGTTGCAGAAGCAAGGAGGTGTCCTGTGTGGTTTTCCCTCAACCTCAAACTGATCTTATAGGTGGGATTCAAAGAAGCACACTGGCTATGTTGGTTTGAAGAATCAGGGAGCGACCTGTTACATGAACAGCCTGCTGCAGACTTTATTTTTCACAAATCAACTACGAAAGGTAAATGGATGGTATTTCTGTCCTCAATCTTCCACCCACCCTTTTTTCTCAAGTATTAAGGGACAAGTAAAGTCCTCTTGCCAAACTTTGCCTCGTCTTCTCCTACTACAGTGCTGTCTCCAGAGAGGCCCCTATTTTATGCTTGCGCCTATCTTTAGTCCTCAGTGTTTGGACACTTAAAGCTAACTGGGGTAGTCAAGAGTTCACTACAGCTAATGATCCTAACCTAAGCTAGAAGTGACATGGGTATTTTTTCAATATGAAAGCCATGAACAACATTTGAAAAAGTTTTATATGAAAAATTGATCAGTTGGAAAACTAGCTGCAAAATGTAGTTTTTACATATTATAGACAAAATTTATTGATTTAAAAAAATATTTTGATTTATTTTTAGACAGAGAGGAAGGGAGGGAGAAAGGGAGAGAAACGTCAGTGTGTGGTTGCCTCTAGAGCACCCCCTACTGGGGACCGGGCCCACAACCCAGGAACGTGCCCTGACTGGGAATGGAACCAGCGACCTTTTGATGTACAGGCTGGCACTCAATCCACTGAGCCACACCAACCATGGTGAAAAAATTTATTTTTGTAAGACTGTTTAAACCAGAATAGACTTCCCTAGAATGTAATACAGGTGAGCCAGCCATCTGTACTTTAGGAAGTCATGTGAGCAGCATGGAGCAGTGCAGGCAACACGGACTCCTGGTTGTGGGGCAGCGCTGGCTGGTCTGCTGCTTTGCTTTCTTGTTTTCACTGTTCTTCTGGTGAGTTACTGTGGTAGGATGTATCCCAGGGATAGCTGAATGTGGGTAATGTCAGTAGCATTTGTTCCATTAACTCTTCTGTTTATAAGTAATGTTGTTTTAAAGTGTTGCTCTGAGAAGTCTGAAATGAAAGTGGTTGTCTTTGGATGGTGAGCTATAGGTAATAGAAAAAAAATATTATTATTTTTTGCTGCCTTGTACTTTCTAGACTGATTCTAAAGACTTTTATGATTTCAAGTGTAAAAAGAAAACTTTCTGACCTATGGAGGGCATAATTAAAAGCCTTATTAAAGCACGATAGCCATTGTGATATTAGAAATGGTACTTTCATGTCAAATTTCATTTTTATTTCTTAATCCTTTTAGGCCATTTATATGATGCCAGCAGAGGGTGATGACTCATCCAAAAGTATCCCTTTAGCATTGCAGAGAGTGTTCTATGAACTACAGCACAGCGATAAGCCTGTAGGGACAAAAAAGCTAACAAAATCATTTGGGTATGTATTGGAAATCTACCTTTCCTTCTGCTGCTCCTTTAAGGGTGAATGAGGTGACAGAAGAATTGTAGTCACTGTGTAGGCATTTAATTATGTTAGAGTGTATTTATCATTGTATTTTATTTGACCATTTTGGAAAGAACAGCTTGGTTTTAGAATTTTGCTTGAGAAATAATTTACAACTTAAAGCTTTATCTGTCAAGAAAGGACATGTATATATCCAAAGGATCTCCTATCTATTCTCTGTCGGTTGGTACTTTAAATACCATAGAATACACTCCCACTGTCTTAAGCCATTTTGCCTTCCCCCTCCAACTGATCACAGAAAATAGTAGGTGATGGCTATGAACACCGGGATACCTGCTGGAAGAGGAAACCCACCAACAAAGGACCCACCAACAGATAACAATGAAAGAAGGTGAAGGAGGGAGTGGAAGCCACCCTAACATCATCCCAGTACTGATCTTGAAATATAGCTGAATGGTGCAGGAATTACCTAGAACAAAAAATTGAACAAGAGTGAGAGAAAAAGCCTCAAAACCTCATACAGACCAGCTTCAACACAATCTGTCTACACCTGCACAACAGAATACAAGATGTAGTGGATGGAGTAACCCTCAGTTAAGCAGCTGGAGGAAGGACCCACCAAAGAAAGCCCCAACAACAATCAAAACCCAAAGACATACAGAGAGCCAACATAAATGGCAGCCCAAGACCAGTGAGCTCAGTAGATCAAGGAGACTGCACCATTGAATCTCACAGGTATTCTACCATAGAAGTTCATGCCATAAACCCAGGGACTCAGAACATATCAATTTAAGAAGCAGAGGCTAACAAGAAGAGCCCCACAAACAGTGGGAAGACAAAGAAACAATCCCCAAGTGAAAGGAAAGGAGGAAGCCTCAGAAAGAATGCTAAATGAAATAGAGGCAAGTCAACTATCAGATATTGAGTTCAAAGCCATGGTTATCATGGTTAATGAGCTGAAAGAAAATTACCAAAAACTACAGGGAAACTACAATGAACTCAGTGCAAACTATATCAACATGAAAAAGGAAATAGAAACTATCAACAAGAGCCAAGAGGAAATGAAGAGTATAATTTCTGAACCAAAGAACACAGTGGAAGGAATCAAAAGCAGGCTAGTGAAGCAGAGGTTCAGATCAGCAAACTGGAGGACAAGGTAGAAAAAAACACTCAGAAAGAGCAAGAAAAGGACAATAGGCTCAGAAAGAATGAAGAGGGGTTAAGGGAAATGCAGGACAACATGAAACATAATATCTGTATAAAGGGATACACAGAAGGAGAAAAGGAAGAGCAAGGGATAGAAAACCTGTTTGAAAAAGTAATAATGGAAAACTTCCCTAGATTGATGAGAGAGAAAAGTCACACAAATCCAGGAAGCACAGAAAGTTCCATCAAGAAGAACCCAAAGAGGCCCACTTCAAGACACATCATAATTAAAATGGCAAAATTCCAAGACAGAGAATCTTAACGGCAGCAAGGGAAAAACAGACAAGAGAGCCCCAATAAGACTAGCAGTTGAATTCTTAATGGAAAGGCTCCAAGCCAGAAGGGAATTGCAAGAAATATTCCAAGTTATGTAAACCAGAGGCCTGCGACCAAAACTAGTTTATCCAGCAAGGCTCTCAATTAAAATGGAAGGCGAATAAGGGGCTTCCCAGACAAAAGAAGCCTCAAAGAATATACCTCCTCCAAGCCACCTCTGCAAGAGATGCTAAAGGGTCTGCTTTAAGAACAGGAAGAAAAACAGAGAGAGGAACACAGGTATGAAAAAACAGCAATGAATAAGCACCTATTAATAATAACCTTAAATATAAATGGATTAAATGCCCCAATCAAAAGACATAGAATAGCTGAATGGATAAGGAATCATGACCCACACATATGCTGCCTACAAGGGACCCACCTCAGAACAAAAGACCTATACAGACTGAAAGTGAAGGGCTGGAAACAAATATTCCAAGCAAATGGACAGGGAAAAAAAAATCCAGGGCAGCAATACTCATATCCAACAAAATAGACTTCAAAAAAAGAGCCATAAAAAGAGACCCAAAAGGTCAATTCATAATACTCAAGGGACGAATCCATCAAGGAGACATAAACATTGTAAATATATATGTACCCAGCATAGGAGCACCCAAATACATAAAGAAAATATTGGAGGACTTCAGGAAAGATATTGACAGCAACACAATTATAGTAGGGGATTTTAACACCCCACTGTCAAAAATGGACAGATCTTCCAAACAAAATATCAACAAAGAGATTGTGGCACTGAACAACACCCTAGATGAAATGAACTTAACTGATATATATAGAGCCCTCCATCCCAAAGAAGCAAAATACACATTCTTTTCAAATGCAAATGGACCATTTTCAAAGATAGACCACATGACAGGATGCAAAACAATCTTCAACAAATTCAAGAAAATTGAAATCATACCAAACATTTTCTCCAACCACAAGGGACTGAAACTGGAAATCAACCTCAAGGAAACCCCCCCCAAACACTCAAACTCATGGAGATTGAATAGCATGCTATTAAACAATGAATAGGTCAAGAAAGATATTTAGGGAAGAAATCAAAAAAGTTTCTGGCAACAAATGAAAATGAAGTCACAACAATTCAAAATGTATGGGACACAGCTAAGGCAGTCCTGAGAGGGAACTTCATAGTGATACAGGCCTACCTAAAAAGATAGAAACATTTCAAATAAACAACCTAACTCTACACCTACAAGAACCTGAGGAACAACAACAAAGACAGTCCAGAGCAAGTAGAAGGATGAAATAACCAAGATCAGAGCAGAATTAAATGACATAGAGGCCAAAAGCACAATTCTCAGGATCAATAAATCTAGAAGTTCATTCTTTGAAAAGATAAAATCGACAAGCCTTTAAGCAGACTCATCAAGGAAAAAAAAGGATCCAAATAAGCACAATTATAAATGAAAGAGGAGAGATTGCAACTGATACCACAGAAATACAAAGGATTTAAGAAATTACTTGGAAGAACTATATATATGCCAAGAAATGTAAAAACCTAGGTGAAATGAACAAATTTCTACAAAAATAGTCTTCCAAAACTGAATGAATAAGTAGTAAGCCAATAACAACTGATGAAATTGAAGCAATAATTAAAAAGCTTCCAACACACAAAAGCCCTGGACCAGACAGTTTTGCAGGAGAATTGTAAAAAACATTTGAGAAAGAGCTAACCCCTATCCTTCACAGATTATTCCAAAAAATTCAAGAAGATGGAAGACTCACAAACTTTTGTTATGAAGCCAGCATCATCCTAATCCCAAAACCAGATAAAGACAAAACAAAGAAAGAAAACTGTAGCCCATATTGCTAATGAACATAGACACTAAAATCCTTAACAAAATATTGGCAAATCGCATCCAGTGATACATAAAAAAGATCACACACCATGATCCAGTGGGATTCATCCCGGGGATGCAATGATGGTATGATATTCACAAACCAATAAGTATAATACATCACATAAACAAAAGACAAAAATCGCATGATCATATCAATAGATGTAGAAAAAGCATTTGATAAGGTATAGTACCCATCTATGATAAAAACACTCAGCAAGTGGGAATAGAGGGAGCATTCCTCAACCTAATAAAGGCCTTATATGAGAGGCCTACAGCCAACATCCTACTCAATGGGTAAACACTTACAGCCTTCCCACTAAGATCAGGATCAAAAAAAGGATGCCTGCTTTCACCACTTCTATTCAACATAGTGTCAGAAGTCCTAGCCAGAGCAATCAAACAAGAAAAAGGAATAAAAGGTATCCAAATTGGAAAAGAGTAAAAGCAACGATCCAAAAGCAAAACTGTCATTACAGATGACATGATAGTGTATATAGAAAATACTATAGACTCCACCAAAAAACTACTTGACCTAATAGTGAATTTGGCAAAGCAGTGAGATACAAAGTCAATATTCAGAAATCAAAGGCATTTTTGCACACCAAAAATGAAATATTAGAAACAGAAGTCAGGAAAAAAATCCCATTTGATATAGCAACAGGAAAAATGAAGTACCTAGGAATAAACCTAACTAAGGAGGTAAAAGACCTGTACTCAGAAAACTATACAACACTGAAGAAAGAAATTAAGGAAGACACAAATGAATGGAAACATGTATTATGTTCATGAATTGGAAGAATTAACATCATCAAAATGTTCATACTACCCAAAGTGATTTATAGATTCAACGCAGTTTCTATTAAAATACCAATGATACATTTCACAGGTATAGAGCATTTAGAAATTTATGTGGAACCATAAATGACCCCAAATAGTTGCAGCAATTTTGAGAAAGAAAAACAAAGTAGGGGGGATCACAATACCTGATCTCATAATGCATTATAAGACCACTATAATCAAACCAGCCTCATTCTGACATAAGAACAGACACATAGGCTAATGGAATAGAACAGAGAGCCCAGATATAAACCTAAGTTTCTAAGGTCAATTAACATTTGACAAAGGGGGAAGAAGCATAAAATGGAATAAAAATAGCCTCTTCAGCAATTGGTATTGGAAAATCTGGACAGCTACATGCAAAAAAAGGAAACTCGATCACCAAGTGGAAACTCAGTCAACAACTTACACCATACACAAAATAAATTTAAGGTGGATAAAAGACTTAAATATAAGTTGTTACAGCATTAAAGTCCTAGAGGAAAACATCGGCAGGAAAATTTCAGACATTCCACGCAGCAACATCTTCACTGATATGTCCCCTAAAGCAAGGGACATAAAGAAAAGAAAAAAACAAATGGGACCTCATCAAACTAAAAAGCTTTGCATGGCTAAAGAAAACAGTAGTAAAATGAAAAGAGAACCAACTGTATGAGAAAACATATTTGCCAGTGATACCTCAGACAAGGGTTTCATCTCCAAATACATAAAGAACTCATATGACTCCACTCTAAGAAGACAAGCAACCCAATTAAAAAATGTGCCAAGGACTTGAACAGACAATTCTCCATTGAGGACATACACAGGGCCCAGAGACATATGAAAAGATGCTTAGCATCACTAGCCATCACAGAGATGCAAATTAAAACCACAATGAGATACTACTTAACACTGGTCAGAATAACCTTCAGAAACAAATCAATAAACAAGTGTTGGACAGGATGTGGAGCAAAAGAAACCCTAGTGCACTGTTGGTAGGAATGCAGACTAGTGCAGCCACTGTGGAAAACAACATGAAATTTCCTCAAAAAACTAAAAATGGAACTGCCTTTTGACCCAGCAGTTCCACTGCTGGGATTATATCCTAAGAGCCCTTGAAACACCAGTCCAAAAGAACCTATGCACCCCAATGTTCATAGCAGCACAATTTACAATAGCCAAGTGCTAGAAGCAACGTAAGTGCCCTAAATAAATGAGTGGATCAGAAAACTATGGTACATTTACACAATGGAATACTATGCAGCAGAGAGAAAGAAGGAGCTCCTACCCTCTATGACAGCATGGGTGGAACTGGAGAGCATTATGCTAAGTGAAATAAGCCAGGCAGTAAGGGAAAAATACCACATGATCTCACCTTTAACTGGAAAATAATCAACAAAAAGAAAAAAGCAAACAAAATATAATCAGAGACATTGAAATTAAGAACAATCTGGGAGGAAGGGGTTTCAGGAAGTACTACAAAGAACACATGGACCATGACCAAGGGGGAGGGTGGAAGGATGGGAGGGAGATGGGTTTGGCTAGGGTGGAGGGAAGTGGTGGGGGGAAAATGCAGACAACTGTAATTGAACAACAACAAAATTATTTTTTTAAAAGAAAAGGACATGTACAAATTTTAAATAAATTACAGAGGGGTACAACCCCCCAAATTGGAATTATCTTCTAGAGGGCAGCCCCCTTGTAGTACTGGGTTCCCCTTCTAGGTGTGTGTTCTAGGAACCCATGTGTATCAGTGTACTAGGTGATGTTGTGCAAGACTGTGTTCCACTTCAGAGAATTTCTTTTGAAGACCCTTTCAACATGTTTGCCCATTTCATGATGGGTGATTTACAAATGCACCTGCCGCACACCATGCTGAGTGTTCAGCAGTTTTTGACCAAAAACAGCCTGACCCCTTGTGCCCCATACCCAGTATTCACCCAATTCTACCCCAAGTGGTGTTTTTTTTCTTCTGGGAATGAAAAAAATCCTGGAAGGGAAACATTTTGAGCATGTGGAAGAGGTGAAACAAAAAATGGCAGAAGCATTAAAAAGCATCAAAACTGACAAGCTCAAAAACTGTTTTGAGCAGTGCAAACAATGTCTTGATAGGTGTATTGCATCAAATGGAGAGCACTTTGAAGGTGACTGAAGTTTAAACATGTAAGAATAAGTATACAATTTTAAAAATTCTGATATTGCTGGGTTTCCCCTCCTATACTTACTTGCAAACATGCCTTCCTCTTGCAGTAAGTTGTTTAGAACAAGATAAAGTTGTGAGCATTTGGGTGTCCTGACAAAACTCAGTTTATCTTTGAATTGCAACCTCCCAAATAATGTCAGAAAGTAAACTTAAGAATAATGGATGGATGATTATGCAGTGTGGTTTTTAATCTGTACTGCTTATTAATTTACTCTTATTTGAAGTTTGGGTGCTTTGGTATATATAAATGTTCACTTTATCTTTTCAAGGTGGGAAACTTTAGATAGCTTCATGCAACATGATGTTCAAGAGCTATGCCGCGTGGTAAGTTTTCAGCTATAAGTACATACTACTGACATTTAATATGTTGAAGCACTGTCAGAAGTTGTTATCAAGTAATACCTCAGGCATACTTCATGCTACCATAATTTAGATGAGCCCATGTTTGTTCGGGCCCAAAACTAGGCTAGAAGGAAAAAAGCCGCATTTATATAGTTTAAAAGCCAGAAAGAATAAAAAAATTATTTGAGAGGGAAGTCTGAGGGGAAACTTGAATTTAAATATTGTAGTAGGATAATGTGTTAATTGGAATATCTACTTGAGTTGTTATGGGCTGGAGTAGCTGTTCTGACTCCCCGGCTTCAGTTTGCAAGAGTGACTTCTGTTATTACCCTGCAGCATCCAGACCCCTTCTTTGCACAGAACTTGTGGTTGAGGCAGACCTCTGTGTGAGTGATTCTCCCCAAAACCAGCTCTAGTCACTAGCAAATTCCCATTCTTTCAGTTGTGATGAAAGATGCACAAACACACACACAAAACATGAAATGGCTATTCAAGGTGATTGGCTGGGCAAGGTGTGTTTTCTTTTTGCAGCACTAGCTGGATTGAATCCAGTTCATTAAATACCCATGGACAAACCAGTCAATCCTGTTGACAGGCTCAACCTCATTAATCTCTTGGTGTGGACCAATACGAGTTAAGTTTAGTGCTCAATTTACATGCTTTTCCACAGAGGTAAAATGAATATAAAAAATGCTTCTAAAGGCACTACAGATTACTAATTCATTCCGGAGGCTGTTTAGAGGGTTAATCTCAACTGTTGCATGTAGATATTTTTGTAACCATCCAACCAAGAAAGAAGATTTTGTTTGTTTTTGATAATTGCATGCCAAAGGTCATACTATTTATAGTCTTAGAATGTCTTGGACCATTGCAATTTCCTAGTCACATTGCAAATTACCGTATGTTGATTAAGCATAACATTCTCTTAAAGCCCAAACTTTCTCTTCCAGTTGCTTGATAACGTGGAAAATAAGATGAGAGGCACATGTGTAGAAGGCACCATACCTAAGTTATTCCGAGGCAAAATGGTGGTATGTGATTATCACTTTATTTTTTTAAATTTTATTTAGTTATTTTTCAAGTACAGTATTCTATTTCTCGATTCCCAGCCCACCCGCCCCGTGATCCCCACCTCCCTCCCATTTCCACCCCCCTTAGTTATTGTCCCTGTGTCCTTTATACTTGTTCCTCCAATGATTATCACTTTAAAAGGATAATTTTAAAAGATTTTGAAATGTGTACATTCTGCTGATTAATAATGCTTGTGCCATCTTTCCCTCGTTTGCAGTCCTATATCCAGTGTAAAGAGGTGGACTATCGATCTGATAGAAGAGAAGATTATTATGATATCCAGCTGAGCATAAAAGGAAAGAAAAACAGTAAGTTCTATGCACACAGTTGCCTGCTGACCATCTGATCATTTAGTTGTGATTCAAGCTTTACTCACGCAAGTGCTCCTGATTAAGCTTGCGCGTAGAGAGAAAACTGCCAAATGATGAGTACACAGCTCACAGAGTGGAGAGTCAGGTCAAGAAACAGAACTTTGCTGGCTCACCCAGCCCTGTCTCAGTCCTTCCCCATCACTACATCCTTCTCAGAGGAGACCACTGTTTGGGATTCTAATGTCCTGTTATAGGTTATTATTTACATGTGGAAAATACTTATGTAGGTTATAGTGTTTCTCATTTACTTTGCTCAGTATAATGTCTGTGGAATTTCACCTATGTTTCAAGTAACAATAATTTAGTTACTTTTATTGATTATAGTATTTCACCTTGCAGACATACTGCAAGAGTTTTGGGACTGTCTACTGTTTATAGTGTGAAGCTGTAGGCATGAGCCCCTTGTCTACCTTGGTTTTTTCTCTTTCTGGTGCACATATATTTGCATTTACGGTGAGCGGGATGGCTGGCTTACAGGGGACACTGTACATGTTCAAGTTAATAGGTAAAGCCAGCAAGTTTCCCACAGTGTGAACCTTATCATCTTCACACAGCCCTCCTCCCCAGAATTGTGTGAGAGCTGTCAGTTGCCAGACTAGACGTTTTGGCGGGAATATGGTGCTATCTTGGTTTTAAGTTATACTTCCCTGATCATAAGCACCTTTTCATGTGCTTACTGGCAGTTTGGGTACTGCCTGACCATAATGCAATACAGTTAATACTAACTTAGTGTCCTTGTCTACAAACTGTCACCTCGGTGACTTCTGGGTCTGCTTCTGTTGAGTCATCTTTGTCTTTACCATGGGCTGTATTTTCCAGCCTCATTGTGTGTCTGGTAATGTGTTATTGGATGCCGGCCATTGTGAGTGTATTCTTGTTGGATATCGAATATTCTTATCCTTTGTTCTGGGGCACAGCTAAGTTACCTGGCAATGATTTGTATTTTTCAAGGCTTGCTTTGTAAGTTTTGTGTAGGGTTTTATAACAGTTTGTGGGAGTGCAACAGTTTCTAGTTGAGAGCTAATTTGTGCCCATAACTGAGGCCACAGCTTTCCGAGTTTTGAGCCTGATGTGCCTGACTTAGGAGGCTTTTCCACTATGGCGGGAGGGAACACCCACTAGTCCCAGGCTGTAGGAGTGCCGGGGGCTGTTCCCCAATCCTTGCGATGCTTCTTTCTCCAGCCCCAGATGATTTCCTCACTGTACTGAATGTGATTAGCAGTCACAGAAGGCTCCAGGAGAACCCCCTGCAAGCCTCTGTAACTCTCTTCCTGTGCAACTTTCTGTTCTTGGGCACTCTCTCCTACAGATTGGAGCTGCCTTGGGCCCCTTGTTGTCTCTGGGATGGCCGGCCCTGTTTGGGTTTCTCTTTGCTGTGCTGTGGCCTGGAAAGTACACAGTAGCTGGGACACTCGACAGGCTGTCTCTGGGACCACCACTTTCACTGCCTGTGGTCCAAAGCGTGAACTCTGTTGTTTTCCACAGAGTCCAGTGTTTCACTTGTTCAGTGCAGGAGAATAGGCCAGTTCCTGTTCTTCTTTCACCACTACGGCAGGAGTTCTTCCTGTGCTCTGGATGCTAATTCTTGGTGAAGTTACTGAGATCATCCCCCAGACTGAGATCATCCTGTGCTTACCTTTTCACTCTTCTAATGTTGGCATTTGTTTCACAGAATCTGATAATTTTAGTGATCCCCAGTGTATCCATCTTTGCTTTTTGTGTCCTAAGAACCCCTGCCCTGAAATCGTAAGATACTCTCTTGTTATTTTTTAATCTTTTCTATTTATTTACTGCCTGTTACCATTTGTAAGACCTTCAGGAAACCATGTCAGTCTCCTTAAGGTTTTCACCTTGGTTAGATTGGTGAAGGTGTGAAGGGCACATTTAACGGGTCTGTGTTGGAGGCTGAGAGTTACCACTCAAGGCCAGTTACTGACATTCCCTTCCCTGGTGTTCCTAAATGTACTTGAGTTGGCTTTATTATAATGGAAGCTTTACTGATAACTTCAGCTGACCTTTCTCTTTCTCTCTTTAAAGTATTTGAATCATTTGTGGATTATGTGGCAGTAGAACAACTAGACGGTGACAACAAATATGACGCCGGGGAGCACGGCTTGCAGGTAATCTGGGAATTTTGTGCCAGTGTCTTGGTGTAGCTTTTCATTTACACGTGAATTTTTTTGCTTACTTCTGAACTAAGAATTTCCTCATATCTTTCCCTGTTGTGCTGGTATCTAGCACTCAAAAGGATTTTATTTCTTGATGTGGGCATTTTATTTTAGAGAACTCTGAGTGTGTTGCTGGTATGATAGAATGGGAAGGGGCCAAGGAAGGTGTTAGCAGGAAATGGACATAGAGCTTGTTCATCAGAGGTAGGGCCGTCACCTGGCACATTGAAGCTCAGTCCCTGTGTTTGAAGACTTTTTCCCATTTCATCCGTTATTCTGTTTCTCCCCTTACTGGTGTCAGTGCCCGGGGTTCTCTCAGTTTCCTCCACTCATAAGTAGAATTTGTGAGTCCTGTGGAGTCTGGTATTGGCTGATGTTATTTTGCTCTTTTGTGGGATGGAGTTAACAGTTTTCTGAGGATCACGACTTCTAGAATGAGGGGTGCATTTTCTGTTATTCATTCCCTGACACTTGGTATCCCTGCTTGTTTTCACATTGCCCTTGAGGAACTCCAGGCTGCTGGCAGAACAGTGAGCGTCAGGTAGACATGGGCTGTGGCCAGTTCCTGGCTGGTGGGAGGGTCAGCAGCACCATCACTGGGCTGGTCCTCCAGGGTCTCTGTTGCAGCCTCATAACCTTGACTCATAGGCTCAACCGATTTACAGTTTTTCAGATCATGCTGTGTTCTCCAAGCCGGCTCCTTTATAACTCACAGTACCATTTTGCTGTGGGCCACAGCTCTGGTCTGGTTCTGCTGGTGAGGCCACTTCGGGCACCAAGTTGCATATTGGGAAGTCCCGTGGCAAACATGCATCTGGATGTGCTAGGAGACACTGTTAACTCAGAAGAATTGTCTTTATCCATGCTGGATATTTGGGTCTGGACAAGCAATACATATTTTAGAATCAGTGGACAAGGGTGGAGAAACAGAATTCTTGTATCATTCTTTCAGGTAGCGTTGAAGCCATGCCATTCCCTTGTGTGGTAGTAGGTTCCTGGGATTTGTGTTTTTCCTTCCAGACACCCTGTCCTCTTAAATGTGCTAGTGTATGTCATAGAACATTGCCAAGTAGGTTTGCTTTGTCACAGCCACTGGTTGGACATTCTGTAGCAGGTCATTGACTAAATGTTTATAGTGCAGAGGGAAGGTCTGGGTTGGAAATATATCTGATCAGGGTTTCTGATGGTTGTTGGTGGCTGAGTTTGGCAGAGGCTTATCGTAGTGAAGGAAAAAGAGTAGGGTGAGGTGGAGCAGAGAAGGAGGCAGGTGTCAGAGCTGTAGAGTGACAGTTTGCTCCACAGAAACTGAGTTTGGAAGCTGGGGTGTCCTGTAGCCCAGAGGCTGACAGAAAGGTTGTGTTGGTGGTTAAAGTGTCTTGCTGATAGTCACTCAGGGCATTCTGTAGAAGTTTGAACAGTAAGCACTGAGTGCATGCTCCACCATGTGTGTTCTTAAGTAGACATGAAGGTGTAGGGAAAGGAAGCTGGTTACTTACAGTCCTGATCATGACTGTTCACCTGTACTTATTCTGTCCAGGTGTTCCACCGCACACCTAAGCTCATAACCTGGTAACCAGTCTTCTGTTTTTCCATGTAGTGTTTTTTTCCCTCTGTGTTTTTCATATTCTTCCATGTTTAATGACTATATAATACATCAGAAAGTGACCAGGCTTTCATTTACTTAACTGTTCCCCTGTGGTGAGATATCAAGATAGAACCAAATCCAAAGGGGCAATCTCTCACAAGCTGTTGCAGCATTATTCTAGGAGCAGTAAATACGGGTGTAAACAACGTTTCAGAGGAACCTTAGATGATGCCTAAACATTGCCTCTTCCCACCAGAAATCCCGAATGTGTTTGGGTCTTACAGAAA